TTTCATATTTCTAAATTTAAAATTATCTCAAAAATATGATATGAAGAATTGAATTTATTTGAATATTGCAACAATATGAAATTAGAAATATATAGTAATATATAAAAAATAAAGATTTGATTTTTTATTGAAAAAAATACCTGTAATATATAGTATATTAAAAATTAATTTAATAAATTTAAAGATTAACTTTTATTCAACATTTTTTTATCAGATTATTAAACGAAAAATCATAATGACATATCATAAATATGATAAAAAATTTTACATTTTATTTTTAAATAAAATAATGATTAATAATTAAAATAAAATTGATATTTTTATTTTAAATTTATTTATTTTATTTTTTATTTTATACAGATGTGATTAAAACTATGACTATTAAAGGATTATTACATATTATGAAATTATCAGAATATAAAAAAAAATTGATAATGAAATCAACAATGACATTTCGAAGATTTAAGACTTTAAAATTCAATGAGGAGAATAACTGGAATCCTACACCATATCACTATTTATCCATTGAAAACAAAGGATTATGTCCAGGAGAATTTTGTAAAGCTACTGTAAATCTAACATTGCAAAAACATGGAAATCAACCAATAATAATATGGGATCACGTTAATCCTAATTCTTTTGTTTCAAAACCAGCTTTCTTGGTTATGTCTGGAAAACCTTATACTTCGGGATTTGTCATTAAGTTTTGGCAATGGATTAATTCAACATCTGAACATATAGAAAAAGTATCTATTGTTACAGAAAAAAGACTAGTAGAAAGAGTATTAATAGTTTTTGTAAATTATACTGACGTGCAAATTAGAAATGCTAGTCAAACTGATATTATTCAATTATGTCGAGATGCAGATTGCCAACCAAATTTGAATTTACGTACTCGTTTTAGTTCAATTAAAATTGATTGTATTGATGAAGATGGATTTCCAGAATTAATAACATATTGGTCTTCATATGATATAGAAGCAACAAAGATACTAACATCAAAAGTGCAAGTTGTAAAATTAAATTCACTTGTAAATTTGCCACATACAAATTAATTTAATTTAATTTTTAATTTATTTAGTGCTTATTATTTTATAGAAATAGCTGAAAATCATTTATAAAAACTGATTCTTCAATTCTATAATATAAAAGTATTAATAAATTTTAATAAATTTAAATAATATAAACATTTCAAAAAAATGAAAAAATTTATTTCATTAATATATTTAAATATAATAGCATTACAATAGATTAATAAATTATATCTGTCTATAGATTTATTATAACTAGTCAACACTTGATAGTAATGTAATAATGAATAAACGCCTAAATATATACATATATATATTTAAAATGATTATATATATTGTGTGGATGTGTGTACACGAATGAATGAATAATAATTTTCATTTGAATGAATAATAATGAACAATTAGTTATAATTATTAATATTCATATTCTAAAAAAATTCTCTTGTCTCTAATGGTGCCTTGTGAAAGCTGTATAAAAAAATTATGAATAAATATAAAATTTCCAAAGTAATTAGATGTTATTAAAAAAAACATTAAAAGTTTTCTATGATTCACAAAATTTTAAAAATGTTTTTTAAATACTAGATTTATTTAAAATGTATAGGAAAAATCATTTTATTTAAATTTATTTAATATTAAATTTATATGAATTAATAAAAAAATTAATTTTTTGCATATAAATATTAGTATAGTATTATAAATTATAAATAGTAAATAAAAATCTCTTTCTAGTCATATGTACTTATTTATTATTTCAAATCATATTATTATTTTCTAATTTATAATTAATTTTATTTTTGTTTTATTTTCGTTAAATATTTTCTAAAATTTAATAAAAATTGCATTAATTACTAACTTTAATTTATATAATACTATTTACAAAATATTTAAATATTAACATGTACTTAATTTTAACGATATATATATATATATATTTTGTTATAAAAGAAATATATATAAAATTAATATTAATTATTTATATATAATTTATTTATATATATAATCATAAAAGTTTAAATTTGTTTCTTTCAGTAGAGTATTTTTTATATTGTACTTTATAAATATGAGCAACTTATTTTTATTTACCTAATTTATTATAATAAAATAATATTATTAATATTATATAATATTAATAAAAAATTTATATATATTAATAAAAATTAAATAAAATCAGAACTATTTTTAACATCATAAAAATATTCAGACACTTTAAAAATTTATAATGAAATAATTAACGAAAATTAAATATTGATTTTGATATGTTTTTCACATCTTGTTCTGTACAACATTTTATGTAATTTATTATCTATTATTAAAAATTATGCTTTATTAACGATATTCAATATTTTATTTCTATTTTAAATGGAATTTATAAATACATCCCAAAAATATAAAAATATATTTCTCAGATAATTTCATGCATTTTTTTTTGCAAAACTTTCGTTATGGCTTCGTTAACAAGTTATTAATAAAAATTAATAACTCAATCATGGAATGCGTAATCTAGTTGAGTTGCAATGGTTGACTGTGTATTATCAACTGATATGAAAAAAGTGTATTAAGATACCCAGATATAATTGTATAATTGCATATAATATATTCAAGATAAAACAGATCTGGGTAATTTTTTTCCCAGAGAAACACGAAATGGTTAATAATAGGAGAATCGAAGGAGAAATTATATTGTTAAGGATCGTGAAGAAACGAAAAGTAAAAAAATCTAAAATCTAAAAGCAAAAATTATTTGAAATGCGTTTTTAGTTAAAATGAAGTATAAAACAATATAAATCGAATTAATTTTTAATCAATTGAATTTAATCAAGTTTCTATTCTTCTAAGTTATTAATAATGTTGATTTGCTAATTAATTAGAAATACTGTTTGCGATTGACAAAAGAACTTTTAAAGAAAGATAATTTATATTTAAGTTTTATAAGTTTTAACTAATATCTTTGATTCTGTAATCATGTAATGTATACAGTAAAAAAATCTATAACATAGATTATAATATAATAATCTGATTTATATTACGTTTGAATTTATTGTAATCGAAAGAATTCCAGTACTCATTGATTAGATAAACATAAAATAAAAATTATAAAAAATTAACTTTTTTTATTATATAATTTTTTTTTCACTCGTGACATTTTCAAATTTTAACCATCGTTATCATTCCTTGATATATTATGTTATCATTAATGAATCTTAATGAATTAGTTCCCTTCTTTTTTCCAATTTTAATGACCTTCAAATATATTGTTGCCAAGCCAATGATACAACAGCGATATCAGTTTCAGTATCTGTATGACGTCGATTTATAATCTATCTATTTATACATAAAAAAATATATGAAGTTAGTATCCAAAATATATAATAGAAATATATATTAAATATAAATCAATATCACTATATTTAATATGTATTCATGTATTCTTTCAGATCCGCAAAATACAAACAAAATACAAAATAATTCTTGAGCAACTAAAATGATAACAATAGATACAGTGCGAGACACATTTTGAGTACTATGATATATAAATAATGATATCTAGCATATATTCTGCTATAAATATATACAAAATAATATATGTATAGGCGAAATTCAATATAATCATTCAATATATATAATATAATTCAATAATCATTATTTTTTGCAAAATATTTCAAAATTAAGGCCAATTGGTAATTATGTACAAAAAAAAGAAATTGTTCAAAATGATTTCATAATATATTTCAAACTAAGATTAATGAAAAGGAAGCTATTCGGTTTGATTGATTAATTGATGATGATTGAGATTGATTAATTTCTAATTCGTAAATTAAATAAATGTATAAATATATACTACGCAATTTTTTGCAAATTCATTCTAAAGAAATAAAATTGATTCCTATATCTTCTTTTAAAAATTTATACATCTTTCAATTTTATGTTATAATTTGCGAACTATAAGAAATAAAGAAAAGATTTTTAAACATAAATTATTTATTTTAATGAGAAATATCGTTTAATAAAAGATTTATCAATTGTTCATCAAATGTAATTAAAAAAAAATTATAAAAATTTTACAATTTTTTTAAATTTTTTTATATGAAAACTTAATCAATAATTTAATCAATTAATTTAATTAAAAAATTTAATCAAAATCAATTTTAATAATTAATAATAAAATAGCATAAAAAGTTTTGTTTTATTACAAATATAAATATATCCAGAAATAATATAGGAATATGCATTAACTTAAAATTTCTGAATTTTTTAATTTCAAATAATATTGCTATAAACTATAATAATATACAAAAATATTTATTATAGCTTTATCGAATTATTAATAAAAATATGGAGTGCGAAATCTAATCAAGCTGCGATAGTAGCGTTGACTGGGTAACAACAAATAAATTTAAGTAATATTTAAGTAATATTTAATAAATTTAATAAATTTAAATAAAATTTAAGTAAATTTAAGTATTAAAGAAAATACATTGAATATTTATTTATTCATTTATATATATTCATAATAATATATTCATAATTTATTCATTGTAATATAATTCGATATAATTTTTATCGATAAAAAAAAATTTATTAAAATATAAAATATAAAAAATTTATTTAAATATCCTCTATATGCTTCTAAAATTTCAAAATTATTTAAATTTGCGATTTGAGAATTTTTTCTTAAGATTTTGATCAATACTTCAAAAATTAATAAATATTTAAAAGTAAAATATTTAAAATTCCATGCGAATGCGAATTTTATTAAATTTACTGAAATGAAACAATCTACGCGACAAAAATATAATCGATTCACATACATATTTATAATAGGTTAAATTCATATCTATAATTAGTACTTATTTATTATTATTTATCAAATTTGAATAAAGCGATTACTTATATTCTCCTACCAAACAGGCTTTGTAATATTATCAAGTTTTTATATGTTCAATTCATATTTATATAACATATTTATATAACATTCCTTCGTAGCAAATTTATATCAGGTGCACAATAATCTATATTCATTTCTTTAAACAAATTTATAGATGTTTATTTGTAGTTACTTATAGTTACTTTTTAATATTTTATATCATAGTTACTTTTTAATATTTTATATCATATATATGTTTTATTTTTAATTTAATATTTTATATTAATTATATTTACTTTAAAATATTTTATTACAATGCTACGTTCTTCATTAAATCGAACTTGGCAACAAATTAATCGTAATTTAGGAAATAATACAGGAATAAAATGTAAACGTCTAGAAGAAAAAGTAGCAATTGTTACAGCATCAACAAGTGGGTAAAGTAATATTTAAAAAATATAATTCTCTTATAAAAATTTTATATTTTTATTATAAAAATTATATATTCTAATTTTTTTTTCATTAAATTAATCGAATGTAAAAAATATATATAATTTAATATATTATTATATTGCAATATTATTATACATGTGAAATACTTCTAAAGATTTTTAAACATAAATTATTTATTTTAATGAGAAATATCGTTTAATAAAAGATTTATCAATTGTTCATCAAATGTAATTAAAAAAAAATTATAAAAATTTTACAAATTGATTTTGAAACATAAAAGATCATATATACAATTTTTTTTGTTAAGTTATAAATTTATAAAACATTTAATTTTGATCATTTATCAATATGAATATCTAATCAGAATTCTTAAAAAAAAAAACTTAAAGACAATGTAAATAATATATGATATTAAAATATCATTTTAGAAATATGAAATAAAAATTAAATTTTTATATATTAGTTTATATGTTTATTTGATTTCTAAAATCAATCCTTCAAAGATATTGAAAATTAATAAAAATTAATAAAAATTAATAAAACCTGTATATATTTAATTATATACTACTAATTATATCTTTTCAAGTTAAGTATCTTTAAAATCATAAGATAAATAAATATTGTATGAAATAAAGTTTATTTTACATAATTTAATAATTAAATTATTTAATAAATTATTTTTAATAATTATATTAATTTTTAATATATATATTTCATTTGTTGTAGTATTGGTTTTGCAATAGCAAAACGTTTAGCTGAAGAAGGTGCTAAAGTAGTAATTAGTAGCCGTAAAGAATCAAATGTACAACAAGCTTTAAAACAACTTAAGTCTGAAGGTTTAAATGTTTATGGTACTATATGTCATGTTGGCAAAAATGAAGATAGAAAATCTCTTCTTGAAAAAGTAAATTTATTTATTTAATATATAATATATAATAAATATTTAAAAATTTTATATTAATACTTTTATAATTTTATATTCTACTTTTTTGCAAAATGATAATTTAATAATAATATTTTAGATTATATAATTTATTAATTATATAATAATATTCTAGACTATACAAAAATTTGGTGGTTTAGATATTTTAATATTAAGTGCTGGCACAAATCCAAATCCATGTAATCTTTTTGATACATCAGAATTATTATGGGATAAAATTTTTGATATCAATCTTAAAAGTACATTTCTCCTAATGAAAGATTCTTTACCATTTTTGAGAAAGAGCAAATCAGCATCAATAACACTTTTATCTTCAATAGCAGCATATTCACCATTAGAAGTAAGTAACTATACTATATATAAAAATAATACATCTCTTATCTCATATAATTTCTTATTTTATACATTATTAATACAATATAATCATTTTTATATAATAATTATAATAAATATAATAATATAATAAATTATATATATAAATTATATATATTATTATATATATTATTATATATATAAAATATATATATTATTTATTTATATAAAAATTAATATTAAAGTTATTAGGTGCATATTCCATTAGCAAAACAGCATTATTAGGACTTACACAAATGGCTTCTGTAAGTCTTGTATCTGAAGGAATTAGAGTCAATTGTATAGCTCCTGGTATTATAAATACTAAATTTTCACAAATAGTATGTACATCCATATTCCTTTTTATAAATAGTTTATTATTTAATAATATTAAAATGTAATACACTTCATAGCTTCGTGAAGGTGAGTTACAAAAAATACTGTTATCAAAAATACCAATGCAAAAATATGGTAGTGTAAATGATGTAGCAGGAATTGCTGCATTTTTAGCAAGTGATGATGCTTTATATATTAGTGGTGAAACTATTATTGCTGCTGGTGGATTCACATGTAGACTTTAAGTATGTTTTATATTGTTGATACATCATAAAAATTTTATTATTTGATAAAGATTATATTATTTGAAGTTACAAGTTAATTATAAACTAGGAAATACATATTAATATTTTTAGTAAAATTTTGTAATTTAAATATATATATATATATATATATATATATATTATATATTTAATATTATATATAATATTATATATAATATATATTATATATTATATACATATATGTATATAATAATATGTATTACAAATATAAAAGACAACTAATACAAATATAAATTGGAAAATATTGTAATATAATTTTTATATTTTATAATTGCATAATATAATTACAATAAAGAACTATTATAATAAAAAAAATGAAATTATTTATTTAAATTACAATTGTAATGATTATAAGATCATTATATTAATTTAATAAGATTTAAATATATTTATATTATTATTTATACATATAATTGAAATTCTATTTATCTATTTAGAGAATATATCAAAAATCATGAAACTATTTATTATAATTGTATATGTAATTTTAAAATAATTTTTTTATAGATATTTACAATTTAAAATTTCATCAAAATCGTTAGATTTGATAGAATCTTCTATTTTGTGTTCTTTATCTTCATTAAAATAAATTTTTAGAAATCGAATATAATTTCATGAAATTTTTTAATGATATTTGATATTTTTCTTTAAAATTACTTTAAAATACATATTTATAATGAAATTATTGCTTTTGTGAAAACACTGACAAATATATAAATTATGGACATTATATAAAGAGTCAAAAATTAAGAATTATCTTTACAAAATAAATACAAATAAAATAGAAAATAGAATATATTTATATAACTTCATTTTCTGTTTTTTATTTAATGAAATTAATTCATTAAATCAAAAAAATTAATTGAAAAATATTCCATAAAAAAAAAGTTATTAAAATATGATTTTATAATTCTTGGTTCACTCTATATGATACATATCGAATGAAAATGGTTATTGGCTATTGGTAATGGCAGATAAAAATATGGTTCAAAACGCAGTAAAACCAAAAGAAAATCATGAAGGTGATGAAAATGGATGGGAAAATGAAGAAAATGAAGAAAATTGCAATGATGCTGGTAAATAAAGTATTTTTGCATAAAAAAATATATAACATAAAAAAAATATTTTATTAAACACTTCAATTTCTTTTTATACATTTTTAATATATTTATTTTATATCTTATATTTTTATATTTAAAAAAGTATATATATAATTTTATTAATTAAAATATAAATATTTTAATGTTATAATTTTAGAATTTGAAGCTATAAATGCTCAACTAGATCAGCTTAATTCAGTGTTGGATAACCTCGAACAAAAAAATGACGATATTCGTGCAGAATTGATTCAATTACTACAATCTAATCGTGAAGCAAGAAAACAATTTCAAGAATTTCAGGATTCTGTAAAACCAAATTTATAATATTTTATTTTGGACGGGTATATAATTTATACTCTATTCACATATTTTTCTATAAATATATTATAGAAAAATTTTCTATAAGTATATTAATATACTTTATTAATATTTATATTAATATTTATATAAATTTTTATAGTATTTTAAATTACAATAAAATTTAAAAAATTTTTTATTTCAGATAATAATGATATATTGTAAATATATTAAATAATAAAACAATATAATAATACATATATATTATAGAGTATATTACAATATATTATAGTAAAATGTGCCAATATTTAAAAATGGAACATTCCTATTAAAATTTATATATGTAAATTCTCTTTATGTTCTTTATAAAATATACATTAATATTTATTATGTATATATGATATTGTATATATAATATATAACTTAAATTATATTTATTATAATTTAATTATATTATCAATAGAATTCTATAAAAATTTCTGAATCAAAATTTTGAATTAGAAATATGTTAAGTTTGTTTGACCAAATATATAATAATAATAATAAATATATAATCATAAATGATGAAGTAAAATCTCATGTTCTATTAATTCAATTAATTCATTTAATTCAATATCAGCATGATATAGTATTATTTTGAGCAATTTCTTGTTTTAATAATATCACATCAAAATTGCATAATACACATAATGTAAATAAGAAATTTTTTTTTTTTTTTTGATATCCATACTTAATATCATTTTTAAATTTATATTGAATATAGATTTATCTATTTGATTTGGTCTATTTTTCATCAAAAATATTCAATTATATTATGTATTATATTATTATTAAACAATATCTATACATATATGTAAAATATAAGATTTTAGACATATTTCTCATAATAAAAGCCACGTTTTTTATTATTATTAAAAATATATACTTTTTATCTATATAAAATTCTACTTAAAATATAACATTTTCTTATATAAATGAATAAAGGTATGAAAGAAAGATGAATAAAAATAAATAAAGAGAATGAATATTATCTGTTTTTTCCTATAATGTAAAAGTTTTATATTATCAACAAATTTAGAATATATTTTTATAGTTAATGCTATATTTGTTAATAACCTAGAATTAGAATATTCTGTTATAATTTTATTTAAAACATATGTTCTTCTAATTTATTTATGTCTACATTTGTATCATATACATATCCAAATCCACCAATATCATGATATTAATTTTAAATTAAGATCTGTTTTTTCCTGTTTTTTTACATTTTAAATACAAAATAAAGCTGTATCTTAAAAAACTAAAAAATGTAAAAAATTTAATATTTTATTAAATTTAAACATATCACTTAATATTTAAAACTTATATCTATCTGTGTATTAAACGAACTATCTAAAGATTTTTTTCTGTAAATATTTAAATATATTTTTATTGTTTACAGTCATGTTATTATAAACATAAATAATTATTTTAATTTGAATTTTTTTTTGTTTATGAACAACAATTAACATTATTAATATCAATAAGTTATCTACACCAGCATTATAATTAATAATAATCTATTTTCTATCTATTTTAACTTAACACTTAAATTATTATTTTATAAAATTTATTAATTTATTATTATATAATTTACTAATATATTATTTTTATACTTATTATATCAAATATATATATATTAAATTAGGTTATTACACACACACACACACGTATATATATATATATATATAAATAATTTTTTTATATAAAAAAATTTAAATAAAATAAATTATTTAATAATTGAAATATATAATAAATATATAATAATATATAATAATTAATAATATTAAAATTTATTAATATATTATAATTAATATGTTTTAATTAGCATTACAATACAATACAATACAATACAATACATATAAAATAATAAAAAGATATAGAAATTATAAAGATTATTTCTCATATGTTTCATCATACAAATCTGAAATATTTCAATTTATTATAAACCTTCAAAATGTAGAATTATAAATAACTGTACATAAATTTATATTATTATAAATATAAACGAATATATCAATATTATGTGTATATTAAAGCTTTATAAATTATATAAAATTCTTATATTAAAATATTAAAATAATGCAGATACATAAATAGTTTAAATTGTAACTTTGAACGAGATAAATTTTAATTATTAAAATTATATTAATTCTTTAATTCTAAATTACAAATAAATTAGTAAATATTGATAACATTTCTAATATTCTTCTTAATATTAATAAATATTAAGTATAGATTTTGAAAATAGTATCTTAAATTGAAACAGATGGCGTTATTTTAAACCAAAAAAGTATGATATAAGAAAGAGGAATAATAGGGCGACGAACAATTATAAATGGTAATTATATCGTTGATCTTTTTTTTATGAAGATGAAATAATTATTAATAAATTGGCAAGACAATATCATAATACAATATTAAATAAGATATTAAAATGGATGAGGCAAAGTTTTTAAAACGGTAAGCATTTTATTATGTCATTATCTTATTAATTATGTATTATAACTTACAATTATTTTAATAATCTATTCTATATTTTAATATTAAAATAAATTTTATACATTTAAATTTTTGTTTATTTATGTTTATAATATTTTATCTTCTTCTTAACTGATAATAAATAATTTAATAAATAAATTTTTTGTTTTTAGAAAAGTAAGATCCGGTACTTTGGATGTACATCCAACAGAAAAAGCTTTAGTAGTAAACTATGATGTTGAAGCATTAATCTTGGGTGAATTAGGAGATCCAATGTTAGGAGATCGTAAAGTAAGATTTATTTTTGATATTCATTATTGATTATTATATTATGATAGTGTGAGTATAAATAAAATCTGTTTATAGGAATGTCAAAAAATAATTCGACTAAAAAGTTTAAATGCAGATACGAATGTATCACTTTTAGCTAAAGAAGTGATAGAAAAGTGTTCTTTAATACATGAATCAAAACTTCGTGAAGTAGAACAATTGATTTATTATCTTCAAAATCGTAAAAAAAGTGATAGTTGTACAAGTTAGTTGTAAATAATATATACAAATGTAGAATTATCTTGGATATATTAATTATTCTTTTCAGTATATATAGATTTTATTTTAGATAATGATAATACTCAACCTTCAAGACCAACATCATCAAATTCAATATCCACGGATAATGGTGAAATAGAACGTGCTGTTATTAGTAATGTTGATAATTATATTGAATTGTTATATGAAGAAATACCAGGCAAAATCAAAGGTTCATCTCTAATTTTACAATTAGCAAGAGTACCTGATAATCTTCATGAGTTAACAAAAAATGGTAATAAATATTATTGTACAATGTATAATAAAATATTGATTACTTATTTATATATTTATTTTATCATAAATAATTAATATTAATTAATTAATATTAATTTTTTTTAGAATCTTTATTAAGTGCTTTAGCCAGAGTTTTAAGAGAAGATTGGAGACGTAGCATAGAATTATCTACAAATATTATATATATTTTCTTTTGTTTCTCAACATATAGTCAATTTCACAATATTGTTCTTGAATATAGAGTAAGTACTATAAAATTAAGTAAAATAAAAAAAAAAAATCGAGAAAAAATTTTGGATATATAATATATATCATAATTAATATTAATATAACATATATAGTAATTAATTATATATATAGTAATAAATTATTTTACATTTAGATTGGATCTTTATGTATGGATATAATTGATTTTGAATTATGTCGATATGATCAATGGAAAGAAGATATGGAAAAACGTAGACGTCATTTTGAAAATACTACAGGATTAACATTTTTTTCAAATGGAAATGATAATTGTGACAAGAAAATAAAAATTGCTGATGATATTTGGAATACAGATGGTCCTTTAGATTATGAAATTAAAAAAAGATCCAATGAAATAACTATTACTGAAAATGATGTAAAAAAATTAAAAGAAGAATTTGAAAAAAATAGAAAAAAATTTAAAAGTTTAATAAAAAAGCAAGAGCAATTATTACGAGGTAGTAATTTTATATTTTATTATTATTAATATGCTTTAATTATTATATAAAAATTTATGTTATAGTTGCATTTTATTTATTGTTAAATATCGCTGAAAATATGGAAGTTGAAAGAAAAATGCGCAAGAAAAACGTAATTGGAATGCTCATCAAAACATTAGACAGAACAAATATTGATCTATTAATACTCGTCATTGCATTTCTAAAAAAATTATCAATATTTCGCGAGAATAAAGATCTTATGGTGAAGTTTCCTATCTAAAATATATAAAAAATACATATATATATTTATTTATAATTTATATATGGTTTTTTAGGCTGAGGAAAGTATTATTGAAAAGATACCAAGACTTCTTCAAAGTAATAATGCAGATCTTATTCTTAGTACTTTAAAATTATTATTTAATCTTTCTTTTGATGCAAAACTTAGAGCTAAAATGATAAGAGTTGGATTATTACCGAAATTAATTAAATTACTTGGTCAAAGTGATATCAAAAATAAAACAACTATTTTGGGTTTATTATATCATGCTAGTATGGATGACAAAGTAAAAACTATGTTTATGAATACAGAATGCATTCAAATGGTAAGTAATAAAATATTTGTGTAACTGTAATAATATAATTTATATAAATAATATGTAATATTTAAATGTTAAAATGGTTAAATATTTTCAAGATAACAAATATGATTGTAAATTCTGAAGATGATCAACCAAAACTAGAACTAATAGCACTTGGTATAAATTTGGCAATTAATAATAAAAATGCCCAACTTATGATAGAAACTAATCGTTTGCAAGGTCTTATAAAAAAAGCATTTCAAACTCAAGATCCTTTAATAATGAAAATGATTCGAAATATTTCTCAACATAATTTAGCAAAAGAAAACTTTGTTGTAAGTAATTAATTAAAATAATATATAAAATTATTTTTTTAATAAAAATATTAAAGAGTTTTAATTATTGTTAGGAATTTGTGGGTGATTTTGCTATGGCTTTAAATCAATCAGATTCTCAAGATTTTGTGCTTGAAGTTATAGGTGTATTAGGCAATTTAGAATTACATGATTTGGATTATTCACAAATACTTCATCGATGTGATTTAATACCATGGATACGTAATAATCTTGTTCCAGGTTAAACATTTTTATTATATTTAAATATCAAATTTATTTTCTTTATATACAATTTTTTTTCATCTCAGGTAAAGCACCAGACGATTTAGTACTTGAAATTGTAATATTTTTGGGTACTGCAGCATTTGACGAAGATTGTGCACGTTTATTATGCAAAGCTGATATATTGCTTTCTCTTATTGAACTTCTTAAAGGTTTGTATTATAAAAAATATTAATATTGTCTTCTAGTAATTTTAATAATTTTTGTAGCAAAACAAGAAGATGATGAAATAGTTTTACAAATAATTTATGTTTTTTATCAAATATCTAAACATGATTCAACAAGAGATTATTTAATACGCGAGACTGGTAATGGTAATAATCAATATTTATGCTTTATTAATAAAATATAATGTTTTTAAAATGCATAAAAAATAAAAAATTTTTTATATTTTATATTTTTAAAATATTTTTGTTATTTATAGAAGCACCTGGATATCTAATAGATCTTATGCATGATAAAAATGCAGCAATTAGAAAAGTATGTGATGCATGTTTAGATGTAATAGCTGTAAGTATATTTTTAAAATAATCTTATTTACAATTATTTTAGATAATAAATAATAATAATTTTAGATAATAAATAAATTTATTTTATAAATTTCTAGATATGTGACAAAAATTGGGCAGCTCGCATAAAAGTAGAAAAATTTAGATCACATAATCAGCAATGGTTGGAAATGGTAGAATCTATAACAAATGATAGTAATAATCATTTATTACCAGAAGAAGATGATAATCTTTCACCATTTATGAATAGTGATCTTTTAAAACATACAATGCTCTTTCCTTCTGGTAAATTATTTTTATAATTATTGTTATATTTATTTTATTTTATATATCTCAAAAAGTAATCTGAAATCTTGTTAATTATAAATTTAATATTTTTAACAGGCAATATGACATCATTTAATGTAGATGATCGATTTTCTGTCATGAAAAATTCTTCAGAATCTTCTGAAAATCAAAGTCGTCCAGTTAGTAGGTAAGTTTTATATATATCTATATACGAAAATTATTAATATTAATAATAATACTAAATCAAATAATAATATTATTTCGTTTTTCATTCTTCATTACTACATATATTTTAGGTATAAAGATCTTGATGATATAGGTGAATTTATGGCACGTTCTAAATCTCGTATGTCTGTTAGTTCTGGCATTGATGATCTTTATTATAATTCCAAAGTTAAATTTCCAGAATCAGACAGCTCACATGTATTAATATAAAAACTAATATAAAAGGTATTTAGATATATAAATATAATATTATATAAAATTATAATTGTATATAATTTATACGTAAAAATATATTAAAAATACAATATCTATTATCATAATTATTTTATTGATAAAATTTTATTATTTTAATAAAGTAAGTTTTAAATATTAATATAATAATTTAATTTAATTAAGTTTTTCATTTTAGGTAATGCACGATTAGGACAGCAAAATTATTACATGTAGTAACTTTTACATAATTTATTATATATGTATTTATCTATGGAAAAGAAATTAGAAAGCTTTAAAATATCTGTATGTGATAAATTATTTTGATCTTACTATATTTTTTTTTATAAATTAATTTAATTTACATATATAAAAATTTCGTTTAAACTAATTTTTGTAGTCTTATTAAATAGTTAATATAATTAATAATACCATATATATATATATACAATACATATACAAAATGATAAAAAAGAAAGTTTATAATTCTTAAATAAATAGATTCATCAAATAAAAAAAAAATTCTAAGAAACTTGAATTAATAAATTAATATTTTAAAATTATTAAATAATTTTTATTTTTCTTAAAGTGAATAATTTATTTATTATTGGAGTAATTTTCTGATGTGAAAATGTCAAATATGTATAAAACTAAAGGAAATCAATAGAAAAGTTTCTGTAACTAGAAGAAATAATAAGATAATTATTTATAGACAACTAATTTCTCGAAACAAGTAAGTTGCTTTACTTTAATTAATTATAGAAAAAATTATTTATAATTTTGAAAATATTAATTTTTCAATCCATATATATATATATATACTAGAATTTTTGCTTTATTTTATTTAATAAAAGTGAATCCTTTTTTTTATCATTATATTATATGTATTACATTTATGTGTAATTTTAATATATAATAATAGTTCTAATATAATATGGTACTACACTGAATTTTATTTTAAAATTCAGAATTTTATTAGTAAAAGTTATGAATCCTCTTTTTTTATCACTATATTATATTACATTTATATATAATTTTAATATATAATAATAGTTCTAGTATAATGATACTAAATTGAAAAATGTTTATTATAGCATTTATTATAGTATTTAATAACAAAAAAATTGATAAGCAGCAAAAAGAAATAAAAAAATATAAAATTCATAGCCGATCAATCGAGTTAATATTTTATAAAAATTTATTTTATACTAAGCTAGTTTATAAAATTAAAATTTTATTCATTTAATTACTATATATTCCTTTATTTTAAATTTTTAAATATTGAAAATTGATATAAAATAATATTATGTTAAAAAATAATCTTATATTATATTTTTATGTATTTTTCATATTATTATTTATTATTTTTCATATTATATATTTATAATATACAATTTATAAATTATTATTATTAAATATATTTTACTTTTTTTTTTATAAAACTAACTAATATTTATTATCAATTACAATAAAATTTATAATTATTGAAAAATTCTTGGTTTATTATTCGAACTTAAACTTTTATAAATAATAGAATGACTAGCTGGTCTAAATACAATAGTATAACTATTATCACCATCAGTATAAAATGTATGTTCTTTTAGATCCCAACTAACAGGACTATCTAGAAATCCTTGAACATGTAAAGCAATCCATGGTAAAGTATTTTTTGTTGATATATATTCATTCATAACATTATATAAATTTTTTATCTGATTTCTTGTGAAAAAACCAGTCCATTGTAAATATTGTACTTGACCAACCTTCATAGATGGAAGTGGACATTTATATGTATTTACATAATCATTTTCTATATTATTTTTTCTTAAAAAAAAAGAAAAGTTTAAATTATTATCATTATATTACAAGATTAAATTATTATATTATATTAACAATTAAATTATTATTTAGATTCATATTTGTATCATACATACAAATCACCACATATAGTAAAAACTCCAAGCCATTCAAAAAATTTATCATGATCGGATTCATTGGAAATTATTGGTATTGATAAAGAATATTCAGTTCTTTGTAAAAAAACTTGTTGACAAAGAAATACATTATATTTACGTTTGTGAAACCATGCTGCCACAGATGATGGACATACATTTTCTTCTAAAAATATATAAATAAAATAAAATTTCATAAAAATAAATAAAAAATAAATAAGATAAAAAATAATAAAAAATTTACCTGATGGATTCCATGAAATAATTATATTAAATTTTTTATCAAAATGCTTCTTCAATGATGTTTGAATATGTTCATAATTTTTCTTAGATGTAAAATTTTCAGATTTCAAGTCAATTATTGTGACTTTTGATTTACGTTACCAAAAAAAAAAAAAAAGAAAAATATATATAAAGAATGTTAATAAGTTTAAATCTAAATTATTAAAAATTAAGAAAAAAAATAAAGAAAAAAATATATAAAGAATGTTAATAAGTTTAAATCTAAATTATTAAAAATTATAATCAATATTTTTTTTATTAGAAACTAACAAATATATTAAATACATATCAATATTATTCATAATAATATCATAATTTTTACATAATTATATATCATTTTATTTTATTATATCATTTTATTTGCTTTAGTTATATAATATATATTTTCATAAAAATTAATAATACATAATAATAAAAATACATAATAATAAAATAATCATATATAATATGATTTTTAGTTAAGTTTATTATGCAAAAGATAAACTTGGACTTGTATCCAAATTTATATTAGTATTTTTTAACTCTCTTCTAAAATTGTTTAATTCTATAGGAGATATTCCTTGCCAATTTTCTAATTCTGATAGACGATATAAATTATCACAATAATGCATTAATAACTGTATAGTATTCATTGATAAATCATGGCTATATAATATTTTGAGCTCTTCTAATTTACGCATTGAATTTTGTGAAAATATCCTTCTTATTGTTTCATCTCCAATACCAGTTGATGAACCCAACTGAATAAATTTAATGTTTTTACAATGAGAAAGTAAAAACTCTAGATGCATATTTGCACATTCTACAACACATTTGATTCTTTCTAAATATTGAAATGGCGGAATTGTAAATTGTCGTGGATATATTGGTACTTGTTCTAAAAATTCACAATTGTAAAAAACTAGATTTTTTATATCTGGACAATATTGACTTATAGATATAAGTGCATTTAAGTCAATTCCATCTACATGTTCCAAATGTAGACTTGTAATTGTAGTACCTTTTACTTCTAATAATGTTTTTATTCCATGAATATAGAAATCACAAGATAAAAGTTTTAATTCTTTTAAATAATTCAGAGCAGCTAAGATTGTAAAATCCATAATTCTATCATCACGTAATATACAAAGACTTGTTATATATGGGCACATATCAATTAAAAGATATAAATGTTCCATACTGAAATTTCGACTTTCAAATATTCTTATATAAAAAGAAGTTGTAATATCTTTTTGATGAATATGTTCTAAAACATATCCAAATTCATCACATCTACCAATATCTTCAATATTTAAATGTTTTAGAAAGAGATTTGCATAACCAGATATAGTCATAGAAGTTTTACATAATTTAATTTGTTTTAAATATTTGCATGACAATAAAGGCTGAACACTGCGTTCTGTTACTGATCTAGATGCAGTTACATCTAACTTTTGTAATTTTTTACAGTTTTGAGCTAAAGCTGCTATAATATTATCCGTGCAATCAAAACATAAAATAAAACATATTAAATTTGGCATAGCAGTTACGCCACTAATAATAATTTTTTCAATATCAGATGTTCTCCAACCTGCTGATCCTGAACCTAAATCTAAAACTTCAAGTCCAATCATATCAGGTAATTTAGTATAAAGAATATGGCGCATAATCTTAGGCCAAGCAGAAAATTCAATTTTTCTTAAATGTGTATCTATAACCACTTCTGTTAAATGAAGAGCAACTGTCATTTCTGACAAAAAAGTTGTAGTTAAAGCATAATCATTGTATGTACCTTTAGTTTCTTTAACTAAATTAACAACAGCAGTTAATACTGTTCTAAACATTTTATCATATAAATGTTGAGGAACATTATAACTTAATAAATGTTTCATAAATTCTAACATTGATTGTAATTTAGTATGTCCATACATTGGATTAGTTTTAGAAATCATATAAATGTATTTTGTCAAGTATTTACCAAAAACAATTACAAAATCTCCAATAGAATATAATGCTAGATCCACTAACGTATGTACCTGGTGCTTTCTTGGCATTTTGAGGCATTACTTTTTCTCTTAGAACTTACCATAACGTGTATGCATTTTACGATCGAAAAAAGAAACTTTTCCTTCTAATCCCAATTTTTGAAAATCTTCTGTTAATAATGATAATATTAAATGTCCAGATGGAGTAATAGCAACTGAATTATCTAAATCTATTTTATTTTCTATAGTTAAAAGTGTTAGTTCTCCTAAAAAATTTATAAAAATGTATGTAATATAATACATTTATTTCTTTTAAATAAGATTTTAAAGAAGAAATATATTTTTTTTAATTAAATTTAATTCTTAAATCAATAAATATGAAAAAATATTAATACATATCACTTACCTTTCTTCACGAATGCTTCTATAAATTCTTTATTTATTAATTCAGATACATTTAAATTATTAATTCGATAATAATCACTATCTTCAAAAATACAACTTCGCAATTCATTCGGAATTCTGATTGTATCAGGAAGTATCAAGGATATCTGGCACAAAACCAATAATTATAAATTACGTAAAAATTTCTTAAAGCATTATCTTCATGAAATTAAAATTATTTAAAATTAATTCTTTACATACTGAATGGTTAAAATAATGTGATTTGATTATATTCGGTATATCAGTTTTCTTGTAATCTTTTTCTTCAGTCGAAAAATAATGTTGAGGTGGTTTGAAATTCCATATTTCTGGATTAAGCATTTTAATAATGAATGTTATTTAGAAGATATAAATATCTTTATTCTTATTATTATTAGGTTATATATTATTAGGTTTTTATGTTATGTTCTTATAATGTATCGTACAACATATAATGCTATGATATGATTGATTATATAGATGTAATACTATTAACTGCATATATATTGCATATATTTTATTTCTCTGATTGGTTTATAAAAGATGCATAATAATATAATTAAATTATAATTAAAAATTCATTTAAAATAAATTAAATCAATATTGGAATAAAAATAATTGATTAAAATTAATAATACTTATTACTGGCATTACTAGAAAAAAATTTTATCAATCAACTTAGTAATTTTAAAGATATTATTTAATAGATTTTAAATTTAATTAATATTTTTATTAATCTGTTGTAACAAATTTATACATTATCTAATAAATATATATTTACTAGGAATAGTAATATATTACAGTATTATATTTAAATATTATATATTATATATATTGGTATTTTTAAAACTGTAAGAATATATTAAACTATTTTACCATAAAATAATTTTTATGAATCATATAATTTTATTTAATAATTGATTATAACAAAGATATATATTATTATAAAAAAAAAGCTTATAAGCCTCGGTAGCGCAGTAGGCAGCGCGTAAGTCTCATAATCTTAAGGTCGTGAGTTCGATCCTCACCCGGGGCAACTTTTAAGTTTTTTTATTATATAAATATTATTATTTATTATAAATAATAAATACCAATATTAATTTATATATTTTCGTTTATTAAGTTTTATTATTATATTATTAATGCTTATAATTTATTAAAATATTGAATATTGAAATAAAAAAGTAAAAATATAATAAAAATTAAATATTTATATACTTAATTTATACATTCAAAAAAAATGATATATGATTATATGTTATATATATAATGATATATTTATATTTTTTTATTATCCAAATATAAATTGAAAGATAAAATTACTTATTTTCTTTTTCTTCTAACTTCATTTGGATTTTTTTGCATCCAATATTTAACAGGATTTTTTGCTCTTATGCCCAACATAGCTGATTTTGAATATACATCACGCATAATAAATGGAGAATATTCAGCTATATTATCATCTTGTAAAGGATTATTTTTAGTACGTGCTAATCGTGTTGGTCTTTGATCTGGAATTGGTTGATCTTCACAAAGAATGGGATTATTTGCATGTTTGCCACCTTTTGGCATAGGTAATGAGAACTAAAAATATATAAAATATAAAATAAAATCTATAGAATGTTATTATTAATATTAATACACAAAAATTTATGTATTAATTAACAAAAATAAGAAAAAATTAATCATACTCTTTTTCCTTTTTTTGAAATTGGTCTTCGGAAATTAATATGAATTTTTTGTTTTCCTTCTTCATTCAATGTAATTGCAACTCTTTTTAATGTTTTATTACCGCAACTAGGACAAAAAATTTTTGTCATAATACTAGTAGTTTTATAACATGCATAACATCTAAGAATATATGTTTGCATTTGTTTAATTATTTTTCCATCTAATGCAACTACATTTAATCCTATTTGTTTTAAAACATTTTGCATAGCAAAATCCATTGTTAAACAAGCAACAATTACAGATTTTTGTTCAAGAAAATTTGAATTAAGTTCTTTCTTTATATTATAAATATTTCCTGAAATAAAAAGAATATTTTTTTTCATTCATATAATTATTTTTTATATGAAATTATTAAAAAACATTTTACCAGGTGTAATCCAATTGCTACTATCATCATCATCATCATCATAATCATCACCACCACTACCATCAACACCATCATCACCACCATCATCATCATCATCATCATCATCATCATCATCATCATCATCATCATCATCATCAATTTTATTATTTTCATATTCATTATTCTTATTATTATTTTTATTATCATTATTATTTTTTATTGGAATAAGAATACCATCAACATTATGTTTAATATTATTTTTATTTTGAACAACAAATCTTGTTAATTTTGAAAATTTGATAGATAAATTTTCTATTCTGTCTTGATTTATATCAGAATATACTGTTTTATAATCAATATCAGTAGAAGATTCACTATAATTTGATTCAATTTTATCTTCTTTTTTTTCTTCATGATTAATATTCTTTATATTATTCTCAAAATTGGTTTCTATTTTTTCTTTATTATTTTCTTCATTAAAAGATTTCTAAATATTAAAAAATTTAATTTAATTTAATTATTATATTAATATCATTTAATAAATTTATCAATAAATTATACAATAGAAATATTTACTTTTATTTTTAATTTTTTTTCTGGGATATAAAAACCAACTAAAGATGTATGAAAATCCACAGCTTTTTCAATATTAGAGTTTATAGTTTGTGCAATTATTGGCTCTGTTCTTAAATGATTAATTCCTACTTTTTCTTTTTCTAACTGATATGTTAATGCAATTATTTTTATATCAGTTGCTGATAAACTAGTATAATCACCAGTTTTTTTAGCAAATTCTGTAACTATAAATAATATAAATAAATATATTATATTTATATATATCAAAATATTATTTAAATAAAATTATATTTACCAAATTTAATGTTTTCAGAATATGCATTTTTTATTTTTAAATCATATGGTAAAACAACTAATCTTCTTAATTGTCTTTTATTTATAACCTCATTTACTACATCTTGTTCTGTTATTATGTTAACACCAATATTCTAAAATTGATATTTATTATTAGAATTATTATATATATTATATAGTATTATAAAATTATACAAAATTAATATTGTATAATATAAGTAATAAATCATATTGATTTTATTTTTTAAGAAATATTTCACCTGTAAAGATACATTTCGAATGAAGGCACTTGTATCAACAATCAAATATTGTATTTTTTGAGATTCATTCATATTTAGTAATTTTTATAATATATATTATAAATATATATCCACGTGTTTTGAAAATTTAATAATTATTAAGATTAATGAACGTTTTTATGAATATCGTATATATTGTATATATGTTCTGACTATTATAACTAAACCTAGTTATAATACACTTATTATGCTAAGATTTTTATATGAAAACTACCTTAATGTTACATAAAAACTGCTAAGATTGTTTAATTTTTAATATATTTAATATAACAATTTTATTATTGTTAATAACCTCTATTAGTGTATTTTTAAATATTTTAAAATAGAAAATATTTAATCTATAAATTTTATATGAAATTTTAAAATAATAATTACATTATTTATCAACTTTAAAATGAATAAAAATTGAATTTGTATATATTATTTAACGTGTTTAAGTTTAAAACTTTTTAAAAATTTGAAATGAAAGTTTTTTATTAGAAAATTTTTTAAGTAAAAAATATATTTATTTTTATTTTACAAATAATTACTTGGTATTTTTAAAATATATTTGAAGAAACAAATTTATTAATAAAAGGAATTTCCCTAATTAGCAATATGGAATTAGAAATAAAATATATATGTTTACAAGAAGAATTCTTATCAATTGCTCAATACTACATTAATGAAAACATATTAAATATACTTAAAAAATATTATGCAAAATATATAAATTCAAATCGTAAATTAAGTCAGATAAATGATTTAAAAACATTATTGAAAGTATTAGAAAAGCGTGATTGTCTTAATTATTATAATATAGAACCACTTATATATATTTCAAATAATTTTTTAAATGATTTTCAAATACAATGTAAAGTAAGAGATTATAAAATTTATGTTCAAAGCATACAATATTGTTTATCCTTTAATATATATCAAGAATCAAAAGGTAAATTTTATCATTTTTATTTTTATATTATGGAATTATTTTAATAATACTTTTAATTATAATAAATAATTATAATAAAATAATATATTTAATATATATAATTTTTAACAGAAAATAAAGATGACAATAAATTATCAAATATAAGTAAAAATAGTACATCACAAATAAAAGTCTCTAATGAGTTTGAAAATCAATCGACATTAGAATACAAAAATGTCAAAAGTAATCTTTTCACACAAAAAATGGAATTACAACAAACGGAGTTACAACAAACATGTAAAAATAAATTTATTCTTTTTAATATATAATAATAACCATGAAATTAATATGAAAAAATCTTATTTTTTAAGTATTATCACATTTAAGTAAAAGAATTGGTCGTTCTTGGAGAGATACTGTGAGATATTTAAATATACCTGAATATCAAATTGATGCAATTCAGAACAAACATCCTTTTGATTTAAAAGAACAAAGTTATGAAGTAAGAAAATACAATTAAAATGGATTTATTTCAAATACAATTCTTTACATATAAGTAACATAAATAATTTGTAGGCTTTGAAATTATATATAACCCAATATAGTGACAATAATTGGAAAATAAATTTAATACATGCTTTAGAAAAAGCAAGACGTAAGGATCTTAAGGAACTTTCTGAGAAATTAATATTAGAATCAAATAGTTAATAATTTAAAGGAAATTAAAAATAAAAAATAATAAAAAATAAATATTAATTTTTTTAATATATTTGTAAGAAAAACTTAAATATAATCATTTTCCAAATAATTATGAAAACATTAAATATTATTATGCTATCTTAAAGTGAGATAGGTTGCTGTATTTTGTTATTGATTGAAATGATTTAAAACTGATAAACCTAATTTATAGGTTTCTTAAAAAAACATTATTTAGCAGTCTTTATGATTTATAAGGAATGAAAACAATATATATAAAAAAATTGCTTGATTAAATATCATAATAGAAATTGCAATTGATATATTTTAGCTATATTTTAGAAAATACAGCAGCCTAATGTGTATACTTTATAATCTATTTTTAAATTATGTATGATATTGATATAAATTTTTATATCTATTGTATACATTTGTACTTGTATACACTTATTGTTGGATAATTTTTATTAAGAAAATATTTAATTTTAATAAAAATATGTAGGTTTTGATCATTTGTTATTGAATTTTTGTTTCATTTATTTTGTTTAGTAATCTAAATTTTGCGTAATATCCACATTAATAATGTATGCATATTGTTATTTGAAAAATTTTTAATGAATAGTGATAATAACATTAATAAGATTTAAACAACATAAGCATTTTTTGTTTGACTTCCTACTTTGACCATAACATCTTTATGTATTTGATAGCCTATAGTAACTTTGGATGCAATTTTTAATCTTTCTCTTAATTTACGTCTGTAAAAAAAAAATGAAATAATTAAATTTTTCATCAATCACTTACTTAAATATATATATTAATTACATATTAATTATTATATTTACCCAATTTCCATAACACTATCTTCACTATTAGCATTTGCAGTCCATACACCAATTTTATCTCCTTTTTGCCTTACATTTACAACAGCTCCACAAATATCATCTGAATATCCATTAAATGCTTCACCAATCATACATAAAAGAGTTTCTAACCAAAAGTGATCTAAATCTGTATTTCTTTGTTTTTTATCTAAATTTATAAGCCATCTTCCACCACATTTATTGGCATTATCTTCCCACATGGGCCGGATTCCTTGTTTGAACATGCTATAGTCACAACCTTGTTTTAATTCTGATGCTGCCTTTATATGATTATATAAACTGTTATTAAAATATAAATATTATTAGTGAAAAGAATATAACAATAATAAAATTAAAAAATTATTAAATTTCAAAATAAGATTAAATTTACCTCCAGAAATCTTCAGCTGTATCAAAACTTGTAACTTTTCTTTGACTTTCTTCCCATGTTTTATTTCTATCTGGTTCATAATACCAAAGAGTCCATGTATGTTGAAGTGGATGTTTGATTAAAACTTCTGGGGGGAATTCATCGAAGTTTACTACTTCTTGCTCCTTCCTTTCAACTTCCTACACATGATTATGTTCATAATTCCAAAGTTAGCTTTTTTAACCTTAATAATTTATTTATGAATGTTTTACTTTCTATTGTTTTCTATCGATTTCGTTTATTTTATATAAATAAAGTATAAACAATTAAATTTTATATATTAGTGAATCAAATTAATTAAAATAATATTACAGATTATTTTAATATTAGTAATATAATATGTCTTTTTTAAGCTCGTTAGACAGTTTTCACCATGCTTGGGAACAGATGGGAGGGGTAAAGAGTTTTATTGAAGTGATCACGTTGTTTAAAAAAAAAAAATATTTATATTTTTTTCCGATATTCAATTAAATCGTAAAAGGATTTGAAAAATATATATCATGATATTTTTACAATATATATAATATTATAAAAAATATTAGAAAAAAGTACCTCAATTTCTTCTGTATTACTCGTAGCCATGTCACACAAACTATACGCACAATATGCTCGTTCAGTGAACTAACAGTAAGGGCATCTGTCGGCAAAATTTTTACACAAAATTTCCTTTTCCAAAGACAGAAATGTGAAATTGCATCGGCGCACCGGGAAATTACCGCAATAAAATTTAAGCAAAGTAATTAGGAAAGAATAAAACAATCATTAGTTTTACTATATTATTATGTCATTATAAAAAAAGAAAGGAAGAAAAAAAACAATTGCGATACACTGTTTTATATCTAATCTTTTTTTATTCTTTTTTCGTTTTAGCAAAACCAATATTATTTTATCATAATAATTTTTTTAACGAAATTATTTTAAATAACATAATGATAATTGATTTTGTTTTATTTTGTCCTTTTTTTTACTTACTACAATTATTTGTTTTTCTGATATTTTCTTGTGTTAACATATATCTAAAATATAATTGAAATCGTAAAAATCTTAATAAATTTATTTATTAAGATAAATTAATTTATTTATATACTTTTATAACAATGATTTTATTATATTTGTTATATNATACTAAATATATATATTTATATATACATATATAAATATATATATTTAGTATCATTATATATATATATGTATATTTATATTATACATATAATGATATTTATTTTTCGTTTTAAAATGTAAAATAGTCAATTCATAAATTATATTTAAAAAGTACAAAAATTATATAATATAAAATAAATTAATATAAGTTAAAATATAATTTTTTTAAAATTATAAAAAATAATATATATTTAGAGCAAATAAAAATTATTTATGTAATTATTATAATAAATAATATCAAATATATTTTTTAGTCAATATAAAAAATTTAAAATAAGGGTTGGTATTCCTGTGATATATTTTAACAATCAGTAGTTTGATATTGGTGGTTTTCGCTGATTCGTATAATGTTGTATTTACATATAATTTAGAGAACATAATTTTTATCTAAAGATTATCAATAATTTTATCTCCATTATGAAACGTTCGGTAAAAATTTATTTTTCTATTCCCTATATAAGTTAATGATATATGATAATTTATATTTATTTCATTTATGGTATTTTTAAAAAAAGGTTAGTTTGACAGCGCGCGATTGTATAAAATATTTTTGTATATTTAATAAATCAATCGAATATTGATAACATTAAATTAATAATATTAAGTTATAAATTTTTTTATGGTAATAAAATTTTTATATATCTTGTTACTTTTAATTCATAATTGTTTATTTTTCAGATAACTGAAGAAAATAGGGAAACAAAGCGATCTTTTGCTAAACAAGAATGTATTAATTTTGGATATGAAGGTTCCTATCCTTCTTATACTTCTTCTTCATCTCCTTCAACTGTCACACAACCTTTACCAGGACAACCACCATTACCTCCTATGCCTCCTCCTTCTAGTAGTGTTCCACCACCTCCTCATGTATTTGGACCAGTGCCTTCTCAAGTTACATCAATACAAGCATGGACATCTCCTACACCATGGCAATGGATAACACCTCAAACATCTCCTTTACCTCCTCCACCTCCACGTGATATGACTACAAATTCATTTCAAAGAGAAATGCCTCTTAGAGGTAATTACATACGGCGAGAAAGATTTACACACACTAAAAGTAATATATATATTCAAAGAAATAACTTTCATCGTAAAAATAGAAGACTTGCAAGATTTGGACATGCTCAAACACAATTTGATCAAGCAACATATTTTGGTGCAACATTGAGTAATAGTCTTGGTTTGGAATGGCAGAGAAATAATTATACTACATCTACAGGTGATACAATTATGAATCATATGCCTGTTCCTCTTCCTAATCATCCTTTACCTCCTATACCTCCAGGGATTTTAACAAATAGACATGGAAAAGAAACTTCAGATCAAGAAATTAAAATCATTCCAGTAAGATATAATAAAAGCTAGATAAATATATTTATTTTATTTTATTATTGATTATTTATTTTAGGAAGAAGTTGTAGGTAAAAAACTTAAACAAAGAAAACCAATGTCTCAAAGTTATCCTAGTCGACCATGGAATAGAGAAGATGCAGAAAGAGCTTTAAAAATTGAAAATGAATATAATAAAACAGTTAAAGCTCAAAGTTTAATAATTAAATTTCCAGATCCTGATTTAAATAAGGATATTGTTAGAGAATTTCATCCTGGTATTCAAAATATTCATTTTCAAAGTCCTAGTGGTCCTAGATATTGTTTTATACAAATGGCAGAAAGTGTTGATATTGATGAAGCTATAAAGGAATTAGAAAAAATACCTTTTGGAATAGGTCATTTAACAGTTGAAAGAAAATCTCTAAGAGATGAAGATAATCCGATGCCTGAGGAAATAGATCCTTATACATTATATATAGGAAATTTACCAGAATCTGTTAATGTTAATGAAGTAAAGAATAAGTTTCCAACAGCTGCTCGAGTAGATGTAGGATATGCACAGAAAATGAGAAATACTCGGTGAGATATTTATTTTGTAAAATAAGTATATATCATTTTTATACATTTTCATTCAATAATTCATTTATTTTATTTCATAGATATGCTTTTATAAGATATAATAGTGTAGATGAATCTATATCTGCTTATAAACAAGCACATGATTTAATGTGGGATACTAGAAGTATTATCGTAAGATTTAGAAGACAACGTGGCAATACTTGTCTTCCTGGAGAACCAAAACCTAATGTTAAAAAAACTAAAGAAGAACCAAATAGTAATTCTCAAATAAAAAAGTGTCAGAAAGTTAATCATATTGAAAAGAGTGTGACAAAATTAGAAACTGATACAGAAAACAAGATACAAGATAATTGTAATAAAATGCAAAATAAAACATCACAGATTCAAGAACAGAATACAAATTTACAATCATCTTCTTCTTCTTCAACACCAACTTCAATCACATCAGCTAAATCAGGACAACAGCAGCAACCATGGGTACAAGTATATTGCAGAAATATTACATATAAAAAAAAACATTTCAAACAAAAAAAAAATAAATAAATAAAAATAAAAAATCTTTTTTTTTTAGACTGCTCAATCACCTCAAATACCTTCTGCATCTGAAGCTCCTCCGCCTTGTTCAACTGAGAGAGAACCAGTTACAGAAACGATAATGCTTACAGAAATTAAAGAAGAGCCAGAAGATTATGAAGAAATGGAAATGTCATGTAATATTGATGACATAGATGATGATGTAGATGATGATGATGATGATGATGATGAAGAAATAGAAGAAGAAGATGATTCAGATGATAATGATGAAGATAATGAAGACGATTATGAAGAAGATGATGAAGAAGAAATAGATGAAAGTGGAAATAACAAACAAGAAGAAATAGCAGAAGATAATGAACCATCAGATGTACGTAAAATGTATTTAGTTGCTAATATTGAAATTAAGTATATTTATAATATAATTATAATATATATATTAAAAATAAAATACAGAATTTTAAATAAAATTCATTTTTTATGATTTTTGTTTCAGCATCTTGATCACATGTTTAATCAATTAGAGAATATGGTTGGTAATATCAGTTTTTAATATATTCATATAATTTTTAATATCAATTACTAAATTTCCATATTAATCTTTAATTTAAAAAAATAATTAATCTTTGATTTAAAAAAAAAAAAGAAAAAATGCCATATACAATATGTAAATAATTCTACTTTAAAAATTGAGTAATAAGTATAATGAGTGAAATTGCATTTATTTATAAAAATAATATTACTAGTTATGTATTATGTACTTTTACATCAAATGTGTTTTTATCTTATAAATTTTTACGCTTAAATATGGATATATCTCTATGTAAACAATTGTGAATATAATTAAATTTATTTTCTGTATTTTCAGTTAAAACTATTTTTTAAAAACATTTTTAATTTTTAAAAATTTGTTAATAAAAACAATATTCATTAAAATTTATTTTCTAATATAAGATTTTATATTTTTTTTTTATTAATTTTTTCTTTTGTGTGATTTTTTATTCGAAAGAATATTATATAAAATGTTGAATAATGTTTTTTCTAATAATTTATGTTATGATTCATATATTTGCGATTCGTATTTTGAAATAAAAATTTTGAAATATACTAATAATTATATAAATATATTATTAAATAAATAATATATGAGATATGCTTTTATGTAAAATAACCAAATTACAATTTGTATTAAAGAAAAAAAATTGTTTTATTATATTTGAATTATGTGAATTAATTCAATCAACTTTAAATCAAGATTTTGTTAGAAAATTATAAAATTTTTAAATTGAATATATTTCCGGTACATATCAAATGCCATCTATTTCCTAGTAGTTCGGCGGTAATAAAGCGCGGGTATCATTACGGGTGTAGTAATTCTATTAATTGTCAATATTTGTTATATTTATCAATTGTGTAAAGAAAAAATCCAAAAAATTAAGAAAAATGTTCGAAGCGCGTTTAGTACAAAGTGCGATTTTGAAGAAAGTATTAGATGCAATAAAAGATCTTTTAACTGAAGCCACGTTCGAATGTTCCGATTCTGGTATCCAAGTACAAGCAATGGATAATGCTCATGTCTCCTTAGTTTCTCTTAATCTTAGAAGCGATGGTTTTGATAAATATAGATGCGATAGAAACTTGTCAATGGGCATGACTATTGCATGGTAAGATGATAATTTTAATGTAATATTTATCAAGGTTATGTTTTTTTTACAATAAGTAAATATTTTCAAATATATAAGTATTATATTTGTATTTCTATTTTCTTAATGAGTTTTCATATATATAATAATATATATAATAGAATGATACATTTATTGTAAATAAAATAAACTATTTTTAGCATGTCCAAAATTCTACGATGTGCTGGTTCAGAAGATACAGTGACATTACGAGCAGTGGATAATCCAGAAAATATTACATTTATATTTGAATCACCAAATAAAGAAAAACTTGCAGAATATGAAATGAAACTTATAAATATGGATCAAGAACATCTTGGTATTCCTGTAAGATTCTACACATTATATATAGAATTTTTTTTTTTTTTTTAATAATGTAATGAAAATATAATATATTATCATAGGAAACCTCATATTCATGTGTTGTAAAAATGCCATCTCAAGAATTTTCACGTATTTGTAGAGATTTAAGTCAATTTGGAGAATCGATAACATTTTCATGTTCTAAGGAAGGTATAAAATTTAGTGCTTCTGGAGATTATGGACAAGGTATATCAATTTCTTTTGTTATAAAAAAAAATGGTAGAGTATGTATAGACATTTTAATTATACTTACATTAGTTATATAATATTTATTGTATTTGGATAGCATCTTGTAGTCAACACTTTTCAAGCACAACTGTTATATAGTTACTGCTTGAAATAATATGCTAGAATGTGTTTGCTTGATTGACCTTCATTGCTATGAAGAATACATCATATATATGTTTATATACATGTCTGTTTATATTTGTGTATTTAAAGGAAAAAATTTTTTTCTGTACTAAAAATCATTAAAATACAAATGAATTATAAAAAGTATATATTGCAAAATATAAAAATATATCTATACAATTAATATTATAAATTATGATTGTATGTAAATTACTCTTTTTTTTAGCTACTGTTAAATTAGCACAAACAGCAGATGCAGATAATGAAGAAGAAGCAGTAATTGTCAATATGCAAGAACCAGTAAAATTAACATTTTCATGTCGTTATCTTAATTGTTTTATAAAGGCTGGACCCTTATGTGCACAAGTACAATTATCAATGTCTAATGATGTGCCCCTTGTATGTGAATACAAAATTGGGGATATTGGACACATTAGATATTATCTGGCACCAAAAATTGATGATGATGAAGAAAATTAATTTTTTTTTAAGATTGGAATATCTTTTTTATCTTGAATACTTTTTTATATAAATTATCAATATAGCATTGCTTTAACTTCGTGTACTTTGATTTTTTTATTGTTATATTTATCATATTATTAAAAAAGGATTAAATATTTTCAAAATCTTAATATAAATAGTGAATGATTATTTAGATAAAAAAAGATATATTTTGATATTCATTATTGAGGAATGATAAAAGGATAATTAGAAATACTTTGAAGGTAATATATTTAAATTTTACATTTAAAAGTCATTTGGCTCGTCACAGTGTTAGCGCAACGTGGAATTGACACTAAGATTCATCATTGACACAATCATGATAAACATGGTAATATGGTGTCATTCTTATAAGATTTATAATTGTTACCGTTTCATAAACTGTGACAATATTTTGATAATATTGCATTTTTTTTATATGTAAGAAGAACTCAATATATTTCCAAAACATTTGATAAATTTTGAATTATGTGTTATTTCTTATATCCTAGCCTAATTGAAATTTAAATTTTTCACTTATTTTTAATTGTCTTATTTCTTATATCTTTTATGTATAAGCTAGTTTAATATAAAAATACATAATTAACTTACGAGCTGAGGGAATAAGTGGGCTACCATGGATGGAATAGCCTAAAAGTATACAGTAAAATCTTACATAATTTGGATCTCATATAATTACTAAATAATTATATATTATATATCAATAGATGTTGATTTATACTATAAATTATTTTACACGCCCATACTGCGAAGACCTGTTTATCATTAATTCTTTTTATGCATTTAAATCAAATCAATAAAATATTTTCCACATCTTGTTCTATGTTCAAAAGTAAATTTAAATAGCAATAAAACAAGATATTTTGGCAATAGTAATCAGCCTCTTTAGTTTTAAAGCCCTGATATTGCTTTTTTCTTTTTAATATAATAGCTTCACATTTAAAATTAAAACAATTATTTTTATACATAATGAAATAATACGCATTCATGTTAATACATAATCAAATTTAATGTAAAAGGAAAATATGAAATTATCCATTTAAAATTAATGAAACTGTTAATACTTATTCATTTTCAAAGAAGATACCACGTACATCGATACTATCGGTAATTATTTGGACCAATTTGATAATTTGCTTATGCGAGATTATCAAAGCATATACTGTTTTTTCAGTCTATAAATATAATTTTAAAAAGTGTGAGATGTTATGTGGTATTTGTCCTGTAAATGAAGTATTAACAAAAAAAAAACATGTACAATTAAAAAATTATGTAAGGGCTTAAGCATTCGTGTTGCCATTACTCCCATATAAACTGGGATGTACATATTTGTCATGCAATGTCCTTAAATGCCTTAATAAATTACTTTTTACGTTAAAGCCTTTTTTACAATAGGAACAAAGAAAAGGCTTTTCCCCCGTATGCGTTCTTTGATGAATTACCATCGACGCATGACTTGGAAATTCTTTTTGACAAATGTTGCACAATTTTTGATGACTATGAACTCTTTTTGGTTTAGGAGGCGCTGAGTTATTCATTAGAGCTAATTGCTCTTCTGTATGTTCGGTTTGGATATGACGTACCCATTCTTGAGGTGTTGAATACATATTACCACAAAGATCACATTTTAAAGGTGGAAAATCTTTGCTATCATCATCTACATCGCCCTAAAAAATACATACGTAATAATAATTTTTTATAATTTAATATATAAAATATTAATTAATATTTTATTTATTCTTACCTTCCTCTTTTTTCTTCGATTTTCGGTCATATCAGCATGTGTAAATTCAATATGTCTTACCCAATCTGATGGTCGATTAAATGTTTGACTGCACATATCGCATGTTAATGGGCTGTATTCTTCTTCTTCATCTGCACTATGTACGATTTCCTGTAATGAATTGTAATACACATTTTTTGTTAAAAAGAATCTTTAAAATAAATTAAAATATTATATACCGGTTTTATATCAATCTCGTGATCTATCGTTAATGATTCTGACGGGTCAATAGTTTCTTCCCAAATTGGTTCATCTTTTACTAAAAGTTCTAAATTCAATTCGGTCTAAAACACATAAGATAAAAATATTTTATTATATTTGATAAATTATATTATATAAAATCATCTTACATTTTCGCCATCTTCACTTTTAGATTTATTAGATTCTACATCACTATTGGTTGTTTTCCTTTTTTTACCATTGTTTTCCACATTTTCCTTATTCTTATTTTGTTCATTATTCTTATTTTCCTCTAAAACCTTTTTAGATTCTGGTTCGCTAGTTTTCTCTTCAATTTTCTCAATACTTTTTCTTTCTGACATAGGTTTTTGAGGTTGAATATTATTTTGTATTGGTGTATTCTGTTGTGTATTTTCAACAATTTTTTCTGTGCTCGGTTGAACCAATTTGATTTTTTGAATTTGACCAGTTAAAGGTGGCTGCTCCCGTTTTTCTCTATCCATTTTCTGGTTATTCGATTGTATATTTTCTTTTTTACTTCCAGTATTAGATCTCCATAAACCACGTACACGTAATATATCGCCTGCTTTTAATACACCTTCTAATTGATCATTCGTTACCGTAGCTTCACCACTGTACATATATTGAATCAGTATCTTTAATGTACGATAACCAATTTCTGTTGGTAATACCTGCAATATAAATAGAATATTGTCTTATATATTTTTTCATTAACAAAAGCCAATAAAAATATACAAACCACAATTATTGGAGCGTTTGTGTTTGCACCGAAATGACATGTTTGAAAAATGTGACTAAGATACGAAGAGCAAGCGGCAAGGACAAATCGATGAGCCGCCACGTGCCGACCACAGGATGTTGCTAACAAGACATCTGCGAAGGATTCTGAATGGAGTAATGTCGCGACAGAGCTGTGTAGATGAGCACCGTAGCTATGCCATTTAAGTTGATAATTCTCTGAAGCAGCGATGGCCATTTTTTCTGTATCGTTGACAAACAGAGAAAAAAAGGTGATTTATTATAATCTTTCTCGGAGATATCTAATACATCTAATACATTCTATTATTGTATTTGTTAAGCCTGTTGCGTCGCTGTGTTTCATTTATATTTGTATGATTTTTATATCATGGTTTACTAAGGATTTTATAAGATGATGTGTAATAAAATATATAATTATTTAAAAATACAGAAAAATAATGATCTATTTTATCTAGATTATATAATTGTGATATATTGAAATATAATATATAAAAATTCATGTAAATATATAATATATATTGTTTTCATCGTTTAAATAATAAAAAAATAATTGACATTTCACATTTAACAAATATATTATAAATGAATGAATATTAGACCAATTCATAATAATCTTCGAAAATATATGAATCTTATATGAATTTCTTTTTTTTCGATTAAATTGAGATTGTGGCGTCGAATGTTTTTTAATGTATCTGTTTTCGTTTCCAAAATCACAAAACAAAAACATCATTCAAAATCCTTTTGATTAGTTATGAATGTAGCTTGGTTTATTTGATATAATATTAAACGAATTTAAAAGAAACATCGATAGTAATAAAATAATTACGCACTCTTTTTGGCACCCCACATTCACACCCTATCTGAATTCTTGTTAAAGTTCGTTCAACGATCGTGCACGTTGTACACAATGTTTTAAAAAAAAATAATCTTCATACATAGGACGAAACGTCATTGACGCACTTTAAAATTAACGATCTTAGATCATTTCGATAATGAAGATCATTGGTTATTTAGTGTACCAATGATTGCATGATATTGCCGCTTGTCGCACGAACGTCGAACCACTGAGAACAAAAATCTGTAAAGCGTTTTACATCGCGTCATTATACTGTCAACGTGGTTACCTGACGACATCGGCCAGAACTTCGTTACGCGTCACTTGGCTTCACTTCTCTCGCTCGTTTCTTATTTTAATTGTAAACGATAATCCTCAAGATCTGCGGCACCACAGAGTGTGTCTCGCACGCGTCGTTAGTGTTTTGAAAGGCGCTTCGCGCGGATACGGGACACGGGGCAGATATGAGCATCGAACCGCCGCGTAGGGGCCTAAAAATCGATATTTCGGTCTTTGCTCCATCCTCTCCGGCGGTGCAGCCGTGCTCGCTTTCGCGGCTAGGTAGGGTGCCCCCCTGTTCATCATCGATTTTCCCGGCTACCAATCGCACGCATCCATTTATCGCATCGATCGCCTGAGCTGATTTCAGCGTTTGCGTCCGTCCGTCCATCCGCCCGCTCCACGATTCATACCCGTGCACCCCGCCGCACCCAACCCCTTTCCCCACACCCTTCTCTATATTCCACATTCTGTTCAACCTCCCACCCCGAAACCATCTCGCTAGCTACTACCTTAAGCCATATAGCGACTAAACGCGACCCTTCATGATCCTTTTCGTCAGTGACGCCGGATGCCACGATATCTTTTAACTTGCTTCATCCACGACACCCCAATGTTGATTCTATTGCCTGTTGATATCCCTTTCTTCACGTCGGTCAATTTCTTATATTTGATTATACATATGTTTGTTGAAAATCAAAATACACTGATCATATTGAAGATCAAAAAAATTTCTTGCCCTTATCAATGCACACACACACACACAACATACACACAATATATATATATATATATATATATATA